CTGATCTATCCTGTTAGACCGTAGAATTCCTGGATGGGTAGATGGCTATGTTCGTCGTTTCTGGCAGGTAAAACACCATTTTGCCCATATCGTAAATACTTCCACTAACATGCCTTCCAGGCTAGGTATACCTTCAAACAGCCGGAGTGAAACTCTAACTAAAATCGAACACAGTGAGGACCACAGAGGCACTCCTGAGGCCCCCGGGCGTGTCGTCACTTTGATCGAGAGATCTTACTGGGAACAGCTAACTGATAGTCACGACTCTGCTCCAGAGCGAGTTTGGGGGGTTGCATACCGTATCATTCCCGAAAAAGTAACCGAAGTCAAGGAGTATCTCGATATCCGCGAGATCAACGGCTACACCATTCACTACGCTCCATTCCATCCTGCCGATGGCTCTCCCCCTATTCGTACTCTGGTCTACATCGGCACCCCAGATAATGAGCAATTTGTCGGCCCCCAGGACCCCCAGGAGCTCGCCGAGCACATCTTCCGCAGTCAAGGGCCCAGCGGCCTGAACAAAGACTACCTGCTGAGTCTCGATACCGCCCTCAGCGAGCTTGCTCCCGATAGCGGCGATCATCACATCCATGACCTGGCCCGCCGTGTCAGGGAACTTGAGAAGAATTGTGAGGATGAAACTAAACTCCTCAACCCGACGACCTTGGTCCATCAACAAAAGCACAGTACCGAAGAAGCAGAAGAAATAGAAGAGCCACATCACTAAGAAACGGACAATGCATCAAGTACACAGACATCTCAACAAGCACATGTAAATAGACTATAGACCCTCATGATGAATAGCATACTTATGATGAGCAGCTAGATGCCGCTCCTCAACCTTCGTGCCATTGCTCCACAACTGTCACCAATTTCAGTCTCGGTTAGCCAGCGGAATTCACGTATCAAAGCACATATAATCAAAAGGAACAGGTCGCACGCAGCGCCATTTCGCATTTTTGTTCTTGCCCTACAGAGGCAATCCTCCAACATTTTTTCGCACAAGGTTCATTCGTAAAACGGCCGTGTCAAGATGGCAAACCATACCAGCCCAAATGCCATACCATGCCCCCTAAAAACCACGCTTCAACCTAAGTGCCCGGGTATAATTCTGCGTTTCAATATGCTCACCAATGCCTGACCTTATCATCCAGCCGTACAAAGAATCCGCAAGCCCAGGAGCCGGAAGTCATCGAAGTTAACCGCCATTGAAATTCAATCCTCAAGGCCCCGTCGATAACATTTCGAGCGCAATGTGACGCACTCCACTCCGGCCTTAAGTTACGTCAACTAATATCCCCTTCCACCCTGGGGAGGTTGTTGCTGGGGAGGCATTTGAGAAGGATCAGGGTACCCAAACTGCTGCTGAGGCATGAACCCTAGATGTACTTTAGCATTATTATGGATTGCCTCCACGATTCGTTCTCAGCGTACCTTGGGGAGGAGCGCCGTAGGCTTGCTGAGGAGGGGGGTATCCCCGGCCATAAGGCATAGGCGCATACATGTTCGGCGCGGGGACTTGGTAGCCATGTCCAGGCGGAGCCATTCCGTAGGGAGCTGGTCCCCCGAAGCCTCGCCCGTACCCACCTCCTCTGCCGAAGCCGCCTCGGGGGCCATTGTCGGATGCCTTGTCAACTCGAATGGTTCGTCCGTCAAACCTGGATATGATTAGATTCTGTATTGGAATGAGATAGCAGATCCGCCATGAAACAAGGAACAAAAGTGACTCGTACTCGACATTGTTCATGGTTGCGATGGCCTTCTGAGCATCGCCCTCCTGGGTGTATCGCACAAATCCAAAGCCACGGCTGCGGCCGGTATCACGGTCCTTGACCACCACCTTTCCATATCCATCGTTAGAAGTGATCTTATGGTCCCAACAAACACCCGCATCAGAGCCACAGATATATGCAGAACTAAGAGCGCTTTGCTTGAAGGAAAGAAAGGAACAGAGTTACCTACAGCTTCTTCGACAGGGCCGAACTCCTCGAACTTCTGACGCAGAGTAGCTTCCTCTGTGTGCCATGCAAGGCCACTTGAATGGAGTTAGCAGATGAGGCAGCCGCAAGAGAGGCTTGAAACGAACCCAATGAAGAGCTTAGACATATTGGATCGTGGGTTCTAGCTCAGACGTCAGCTTGTGTTCACGATAGACCACTGAAACAAAGATTGCCACGGTGGTTGTAGATGCGTCGCAGAGGAGCAGGCTCACACAGGACCCAATCCACAGAGCAAACAGAGTCCTTGACAGCCTCTCCGGGATCACGGTCACTAATCTGTGTGATCAAGATGCCGCGCGTCGTTGCGCAGAAAGGCGCGCGCTTATAGGCAACGATTGTGCAGAGTGAGGAGGATAAGAGGGGCACTATGAGATAAAGAGCGCACCTTTATTGCAGCAGATGCCTTCGGTATTGGTGACTGCGTCTTCCACAGACTTGATCTTGTTCTTCAAGAAACTGAGCGCTTGCGCTAATTATCAAAGACAACCAGTTGACAAGTGGTTGAGCTGTGGTGCAGGGAGAGAGATGAAGGTGGAGCTTCAGAACGGGAAGAGGTTGCGGATGTAATGAAGTTAAAGCAGAGACAGAGAAAGCCGGGTAACAAACAGGTAAGGTAACTTTAGCTTAGCTTATATTCACTAGACGGCGTGGTCCAAGGCCCAAGGATGGATGAGAGGGGTCCTGAGCATGTAATGTAATAAAATGCGGGCGGAACGTGACTGTTGATGTTATGTATGTATGTATGTATGTATGTACGGAGTGTCTATATGTATGTATGCACCCTGCAGCTGCAGCACAATGCAGTGAGCGAGCGAGCTGGAGGCACGGCAGGCACGTTGTTTCTGTAGTCTATCGGCAGCGGCGTTGAATGACGATGCTTGCCAGGGGTGTTTTAGAATATCTCGCCTCGCCCATGTCATGTCTGGCGTGCCATGTTTCGCTGCTCATCGTCAAGGCTTTCCGTTCTTTTCTACAAGACGAGCCAAAGGTCTATCGCCATCGCTCGAGTTGATGGCGCCTGCTTCATTTCCACCATCATTCATAAATTCGAGGCCAAGCTCCCTCCTCGCGTCGATCCCAGGTCCCCGGTGGGCACATCCGTGGAGGCAGTGCTAATAAACTGCACCTTACCGTACCGTCACCGCGACAGACGACCAGGGTGTCTGGTCAGGACGTTTCGGACTCGGGTCTGGCAGGGGGAGCTTTATCCAAACAAGCTTTGGGCGGCAGAAGCAAACACAGGGGCAGTCCAAGTTTGGGTGCAAGGTGCACTACCTAACCCACCACCCTCACCGTGGCCCTGAGGGTTTTGGCGGCATCCATCAGCTTCATTCAAGCTCGTGCGGGCCTGTGATGACGACGGTCCTCCACATCCTGTCCAAACTTCTCCCCACAACCATCAAAGCCAAGCACCGCGCCTAGGCTTAAACCGCATTCTGCCCCTAAGTCAAGCATAACAGTCTGACGATCTTCCCCCTTCTCATCATACTGCCACTCTTCAATTCGCCGCTTGCATAGCCCCCTTCAATCCACTTGAGCCAATATCCCGGTCCTCCTCCGTTAACTCTAGGTTGGCGGTTCGTACGGAGTACCTGTTCTTTGTTATATATAGCGGACTGCTCGTTGCAGAACATTTGGCATCCAACGTTGTAGTCTATAACGGGACATTTTCCTGCTTCGACATTATATGCAAAATACTAAGACCATGCAACACGGCCCTATGCTTTTTTAAGGTAGCGTTTCATGCTCTTGGCGATGGTAATACTCCTTTCAGGGTGTTATACTCAAGCCCCGCCTCACCAAACACCTGTTCCCGACACGTGCTGCCCCTCCTTCTCATTGAGGTGGAGGGTTGATTCAGGGGCCAAGCGAGCATGCCAGCATGGTAGGCTTGCAAGGCTTGCAAGACGTTGAGGAATTCATGCGCAGTCTATGTATTTCCTTGCTTGGTTGTAGAATAAATGAAGATCAGATATCTGTGCACGTATTAGTCGGCCTTGAATCTTTCATCATATTTTTTCTTTCTTCTTCATGGCTTGATAACTTATACAGGATGTAGTTCCGGGTTCTTGAATTCCTCCGAAGAGTACTCCATATGCAGCATGGATCTAAATCTGTGTAAGACAAGACACTAATCCCAGACCGTGAAACGTGCAGCGTGTCGAGATTTCGTGTCTTCGTAACGACAAGTACGAAACAAGCCTGTAAGGGTATGCCGGAGTTTCTCCTGCTCGCACTACCACTTGCTTGAATGTTTCAACAAGGAAATACAGGAAATAGGTATGGGTAACTCTGCTAAGCCAGCCATGACAGCGGCTGCCTTGACAGATATGCAGTAGCGTGGTGAAACGCTAGATTAAGCATCAATGCAATGCTACCTTGGCAGCGGCTTAGTCGATTGAGGTACCAATGCCAAGAAGTACCCTTCGCAAACAGGATCAGGACCTACCACTTAGATCTGACAGGTAATTCGCATAATAGCTCTTGATTAGGAACCAGAAGCCGCATGGTGGATGTTCCTAGAGTAGAGATTGGGGGAAGCGAGTGTATAAAAGACGCCCAAAAGAGGTGGCAGCCAGGGGAATAGATTGGCTTGAGCGACCTCGAAGAACTATCCGTAACGAGAACAGATCAACGATTTCTTAGAACTTCAGAAGAAACGGACTTTTAGATAGTACTGACCTCAAGTCAGTACTCAGATAGAGGTAGGTACCTAAAGTAAGAGGAACGGGCCAAGAGAGACAGTATGAAAAGCCCATTCTTGAGGTAGGTTACCTAAGGTGTGACTTACAAGTTTGGGGCAGCCATAGCACCTACCTTTTTCAATATCCAGACTCGTTTCGCGGAAGGCGCTGAGCTCGTATCATGTTTACCTATCTTGGGCGTGCAAACTAACACCCCGTAACGATATCCTCCCCTCAACTCTTGATCACCTGCAAACGCATTTGAGTGACTCGCAAGAGACTTGCAGGTTGTGCTCTCCGAAGCTTGGCCTAGATGATACCTCATCGCAATCGCCATCATTCGAATGGCCAATATGAGAGCCGGCACAGGATCTCAGCAAGTCCAGAATTTTACTCCCTAGATGTCGAATCGAGCGGACTTGACACAGTTCATGCTTGGCTGAGCCAGGTTCATGATTATGCAAGTCACAAGGATCCGGAACCGCAGTTCGCGCAAGACTTGGACGGCGATTACACACCAAACTGGAAGCCAAACTGGAAGCCTCACGATCTTTCTGTTGTGCCGATATCTCGGAATTATCACCAGTCTCGTCATTCAGGAAACCGAGCCTTCGATCAACGACCCACTTCCCCAAAATCTGGTTTACTTGAACACGACACATACTCAGAATCGCAACATGAGCCCTCTCTTGACATAGGGTCTGACAAAGAGAACAGGAAGAGATCTCGTTCACGTTTTAAGCAGGATTGTCACAAAGAAAGATCTAACAAAATGTTGTTCGAGAGACAGCCAAGAAGGAAAACACGCCCAGACCGGTATACTTTCAAAGACACAGTGGGTAAGAGGGATCACACGACCGAGAGCGAAGAAGAGAGGCCAAGAAAAAAGTCACGCTCAAAGAAGCAAGAGATTAGAGCGAGTCGGGATATTATGAACAATTTTGCATCTGGCGCCATCCCAAACACAAGAGTGACGGTAGGTGGTGAAGCAAAATCGAGCGGATTTCCATACCGAGTAAACTAATGCTCGTGTATTTTGTCAGATGAGGCCTAATCTTACTGCTGGACTGTTCCTGAACGGTCGATCCTCAACATACGGACGAGGTACGCTACCTCTCGGACTCGATTTAGTCTTTTCTCATCATAACATAGGGGCTGACATTACACTCGACGATATGACATTTATTGAAACATGCGGTGACAAAGGAAAACCATACGAGATTCTCCAACATATTACAAGTGAGAACTCGAGCGGCCAAGATGATGTTTCAAATAGTGACCATACTTCACGGAGCGCCACAGAACTCCCCATAACCACAACAAATGATGAAGAGGGAGAAGTACAAAGCCTCGCGGATGATATCTCTCAGGGAAATCAACAGAATAATATTCAAAAGCATGGGTTTGAGGCTCATAGCGCCTCTGTACGGTTGACAGAAACCACTCAAACATCCGACTACGAGACCCCTGAAGCGATGTTCAAGAGGCTTATCGATACAGGCATCTTCGATGGCACAGGTATTTTGGAAACAACTTCCCATAGGACTATGGAGCCAAATATTGAACATCACGATTGCCTTGGCATGAATGGTACAAAACAATCAAGCAATAACCCGACATATCAAGACAAGGGGGTAATGGCCGACCGCAGCAGGCAGTCAACTCTCGAACCAAACATACAAGCTGCCACAAAGAATACACAATTTCATCTGAATGGCGGTGCAAAAAGTGCACCAGTGCCAACTAAAGCATCGTGCTCCCGATATGAACAAGAATTGCCAGTTCCGATTAGCAGCACCTCTCCACAAGTTCAACCTTCAATTCTACCAACATCGGTAGTTGAAAATAATAAACACAGTATTCCTGAGGAACCATGCGTCAAACAACCCCAAGGTACGAAGAGTATCTCTACTACTAATAATCGAGGTCGGCCGCTTTCTCGAATCTCAGAAAGGGGCTATCGTTATACCGAGCAAAACGATCGGCCAGGGCTTATGTTTCCAAGCTTCATAGCGGAGGGTTTCAATGGTGAGCACTCATACCACCGAGGCTCGACAGAAGAAAATAAACCTCAGTTGGAGGGCTCGTTCGTTCACCGAGGACTGCAGTCCCATGACATCATGATACCAGTTTCAGGGTCTCCAGGCTTTCAACAAGCACGCCGACCACTTAATGGGCATATTAGTAGTGCAGGACTCGATTCGGCCGTCTTCCCAACAGTGCACTCAGATATCTACTCGGACCACCGAGACATACAGCATGATGATAGGCAACTTACACAACCAGACTACTGCGAAGACAGCGAGACAATTCAAGAATTCATTAAGCGGATCGATGGTGAGGTAAGTATGAAGTGGGACAACTCACAGCAGTCTGTTGGTGTTGGCTGCATTAGTGATATAGAGGAATGCGCCAAAAGCGAGTCGTTCGAAATGGACAACAGCGAGGATTTGTCACAATGCAGCGATGTAGATCATGATGGGGTAATCCAACAGAGCTTACGCGGCATATTCTCAAGCTTTGATCAAGGGTCTATATCGACGAATCAGGCTATGGCGGAAGATTGGGAGCACTCAGATTATGAACAAAGTCGATACTGGACAGGAAAATATCACGATGAGCATGGGGTCTCTGAGGCGAAAATGGTTGGTTTCTGGAGGCCTAATCACTTTTAGGCTGATGTACTCTTGTCTTGAATCTTTGGTATAGCGGTACGTAGCTGGGTTAGGATTCATTACTCAGGTTCTTGGTCCTTCCATTTGTTTCTTAAGGACTGAACATCAATGCCACATTGTTCTGCTTTGACAATGACAGCACCAGCTTTGCCAATAACGGGGGCATCAATCATTTTACCATCCAGGGTCCAGGCGCCTCGACCGGACGCCGAAGCCTTCTCATCAGCGATGGAGATCCTGATAGCCCATTCAACCTCCTTCTGATCCGGAGCGAACATACGCTGGACGACTTCGACCTGGCTTGGATGTATGCACTGCTTTCCGTTGAAGCCAATGGATTTTCCTCCAGCACACTCCTCCTCGAGAGTTTTTAGCCCCTGCTCTCCCTTATAGGAGGTGCAAACTAGATCAATTGCACTTGGCAATCCGGCTGCCCGGCCTGCGGTGACTATAGCAGATCTTGCGTAGAGAAACTCGGTCAGAGACGGGGTTCTTGTCAGCGAGAGATCAAGGGCGAAATCCTCGGCTGCGAAGACGAAGCCACTCAGGTAAGGAGATGCCTTTGATATCTGAGCCAAGTCCATGATGGAGCGAGCTGACTCGATAAGAGCTATTATCTTTATTGGGTTATCTGCCTCGGCTGTGTGGCGTTCTGGAGCGACATGTCGGAGAACATCAGTAACAAAGGTCAGGTCAGCCGCAGAATTGACTTTGGGAACCACGACAGCGTCAACATGAGACATTGGCGCGAGTGTGGTCAAGTCTGAGAGAGCAAAGGGGGTGGAAACAGCGTTGATGCGAACGGCCAGCTCAGAAATGCCAGAAGGCCGAGCTTTGAGGTTGGAGATGTGCTCGCGCAGTTGATTGCGGGCTGTATCTTTGAGAGAGGGTGTAACCGAGTCTTCCAAGTCATAAGTTACGTTGTCTGATTTGAGACCGAGAGACTTGGTGAGCATCTTTTGCGATGAGCCTGGCACTGAGGGGGGAGGGGGGTCAGTCTCGGCATTCAATGATGAGTGAGGAGTCCTGCTTTACCATAGAGCAAAGAGCGGCGGATAATGGATGGAGACCGGGCAGCCATTTCGTGGGATTTCACGGGTTATCAAATATGAGCACAAATATCTGTCAATTGCGCATATGAGCTGCGCTTGTAGATGATTAGTAGCTATATCCTGAAAGACCGAAGTCCCTTAGGCTATCACGACTTATACGCCGAGAAGGTCGGGGCCCACCCACGGCAGCTCATGACGTCCTACCGTGTAAGACAGAATCTGCCAACTCCCACCGCCTGCCTAAACCAATGACAGGGGATTTTGCTGTCGCGGATCATGCTCCATCCCTTGCGCGGCTTGATAGAAGGCCAGCTTACACAAGGTAGCTTCAAAGCTCCACGTTTTGTTACATTGTCACCTACGACCCCTTCGCCAACTACATACGACAATCTTTCTCAACGAATCGAATCGAGTCGAATACGAACAGTGTCTGAACGAAAAGTATAGATATCACGAGCTACCTATTCTCCATCCAATACGTCGACTTGTTAGCTATCATGGATGCCACGCAACCACAGCCCGCGCCGGGCAGTCTTAGCTGGCGCCTCAGCGCGCATCCCATTACGCTGCTCACGTTTCTGGGATTCCGGATATGTGCGCCTCTCACGGCATTTCCTTTGGAGCGCAATTGCTAATGTCCTGCAGCAAGTGTCCTGATCTACTTTCTCGGTCTGTGGATCATAAAAAGCATGTGTGTATCCTCCCTCGGACCTCTTCAGCCGTGCGGAGCACTAATTTTCTTGGTAGGATCATGATCTTCATCATCACGATTCTCCTCCTCGCCGCCGACTTCTACTACATCAAGAACATTGCCGGCCGTCGCCTTGTAGGTCTGCGCTGGTGGAATGAGGTCGATCCCCAGACGGGAGAGTCGCAGTGGGTATTTGAGAGCAGCGAGCCAGGTACCAAGACTGTCAACCCGACTGATAGCCGCTTTTTCTGGCTCGCTCTGTATATCCAGCCTATGTTGTGGGTTCTCATGGCTATTCTTGCTCTTGTGCGACTGCAGTTCTTGTGGTTGCCCCTAGTTGGTACGTTGGATAGAATACCCCTGGAGTCTGTGATTCAGATACAAAGAGCACGCTTTGAAACTATGCTGGATTCAGTGCCACTAACACTCGGAACTAGTTATTGCTCTTGTCCTCACCATCATGAACACTCTAGCCTTCTCACGATGTGACAAGTTCAGCAACGCTTCCAGCATCGCTGGTAGCGCTTTTGGAACGGGCAACCTGGCCGGAAGCCTCGCAAGCAACATGGTCAGCAACTGGTTTTCTCGCAGCTAAAAAAAAACAAAAGCAAAGAGTGGGCTTCGAATGGATGAGGCCGAGCGAATCTTGACTTCGTCACCCCATTGACTGGACGAAAAAGGGGGAACCTGGCCCGTGTTTTGTGTTAGGACTTTGCAAGGAAGACATTGATGTCGGTATGAGTCGTTGAAGTTGTAAATTAAAATCACAGGGTTTGTTAATCACCGTTTGCGAGTTTTTGACGACGATTTGCAGTTTCACAACGCCTATGGGCGGGAAATGTATGAATAATACCTTGATCAGTTACCGCTCTGGTATCAATCATTCACGACCTAACTAAATCGCTCTCGTTATAAAGACTGCGCGACGCTATCGACGTTTTCCCACTGATTGTGTTTATGATAGCACCAAATTCCATGTTTCCATGATCGCTGCAACAAGCAGATTTCATGCAAGATCTCGTGAAAAGTGAAAGACCTATGTCAACATGGCAAAAGAAATATGTGGTACCTCTCTTGGTAGGCCTGCATCTGATCAATGACGGACCAGCTATGTCGCCAACAAGCCGAGAGAGAATACACGGCACCGTTACGATGGACAAAACTGAGCAGGCTACGTAGGCGACCCAAGAAGTGAAGCGTAAGAACAAGATATAGGATAATCCAAAACTCCAAACCCCATAACACACCAGCATCAGGAGTCAATGCCTTCGACGGGACCTGGATCTCTCTGATCTACAGATGGCTTTTGCCCATGCAAGGCGGCACTATCGTCTTGCAGCACGCTCGATTTCATCATCCAGCTGCCGCTCCTCTTCCTCTAATCTTCGGATCTCATCGACTGTCATACCATCTTCGACCAAGTGAGCCACATTGGACGACATGCCCTGGGGTGTCTGAGCACCGCTGTGTGCTGCACGATCGTGGGACCCGATGGATGAACGAGGCACGCCGCCAGGTGGGGGAGTCGGAGCGACACCGCGATCTCGGTCGAGGCTACCGAGGGCAACAGGTTGCATGTGGTTTTCATCTGAGTAGGGCGAGTTGGGTGAGTCGGTAGCACGGCCATGAGTCTCCTTGTCCACTGCGTATGTTTGCTGTGTGACATACTCATCACCAGCCTTCTTGCTGCGTCGACGCCGACGAAGAAAGAACCATACCAGAGCACCGATGATGAGAATACCGCCAATAACGGCACCAACGGCAATGCCAGCAGTTGCGCCGGTTGAGAGCCCCCCGCCGCCGCCGCCGCCGCCACCGGAACTCTCTTCAGCCCCTGCAGTCGACGAAGGCGAAAGAGTGGCTGTTGCCGATGAGGATGAGGAAGTGGTAGATTCCAAAGTGTCCTGTTGGCTTTGATCCTTCTTGAGTTGGTCATTTAGTTCACTGATCTCAGTGGTGTTATCGGTATTGGTGACAGTGAAGAGTTGTGTTTTGGTGTAGCCTGAAGCTCCATCCTTCTTCCAGTCAATTTGAATGTACATCTCTTTTCCGTAGTATTTCGAGGTTCCGCCTCCAAAGTTGAGGGTCACCGAATTGTTGTTGACTGCGTTGGATAATGTATCAGTTACTGAACTTGAATATCTCACAAGGGCGTGTCGCATTCCTCGCAAAGCATACATACCATCTGTGAGTTGTCTATCGGTCTTCGCATCCCTAAATTCGACATCACCTAAAGACTCAATGTTGTCGTCGTTGATAACCTGCCATTGGACCACATCGAGCGTGGTTTTGGAGTCGGGTTTGGAAAAGCCGATGATCTTTCTGTTCTGGTCGCTATCCTTGAGCTGAAAAACATAACCGTCCTCGAAGTTTGTGGAATTGAAGACAATGACTTTGGTCTGTGACCCCGAACCTCCCACGCCCGTGTTGCCGTTGCCTGAGCCGTCAACAACACCGTCGGAGTCGCCTTTGCTGGAGGGCAATGGAAGATTCATATTGGCGGAAGAAGGGGCATTTTGCATGTCCTTCACAACATCGCCCGTATCGTCCCGGTCAATTTGGTTGGCTATTTGTTCCATTTTGGGGTGTTGACTTGTCTTGTCCAGCTAAATCAGCAGTTATGTGTTGGCGATTGGTGGTATATTCGAATCAAAGAGGTTCTCTTGGACCTCTCGTCCGCTTCTCGAGGGCAGTACGTTGGAGCTGAAAGTGGTGCTTGTCGAGAATCGTTCGATTTCGTTTATACTCGTTTATACTTGTTTATCAAGTGTGGTCGATCAGTTCAGTTCAGGTCGGATTCTATTCCAAACGGCCGATTTGGTATCTTGGGACAATAAGTCCCTGAGGACAGAGAAACGAAGCAAACCGCAACACAAGCACAAGAAAAGCAAAAGCGAGGTGGTCTTATTAGAGGGTAAATTCCAATATCGTACTATAAGGTATGGTAAGACGGGGGGGGAAAGATGACAGAAGCAGAGGGGACAAAGAAAACAAGTCCAACGGGAGTTCCTTCGTCTTCCCTGGTCTCATCCATTGCTGCGGCAAGCCCAAGCGTGGTTCAGCCCTGGCTTGACTGCCTGACTGGCCTGACTGGCTTGTCTGGATGGTTGCAAATGCAGACCTGGGCGTACTCAGCCTGGCCAGCTAGGACTTCGTATAGAGGGTACTTTGAGGGTACAGCACAGTGTTTGTCCATAAGGGGCAAGCTTGACGATGGGCGGCTCCACTGCATCCCCTCCCTGGGAACAAGGTTGTTT